AAACACGGTGAGTCACATACAATACCCATTATAAAAATACAACTGGTCTATTGCAAGACCATGGAAAAAGAAACGTTACACTGACTGTATTATTTTCTTGTTACAAACGTTTCGCGCACTGTAGGTTAATTTTCCCACAGCTTTGGTGCTCATTGAGAACAAAGAATGTTAAATTTATTTCGACATGTCAAACATTTATAAGACAGTTTTTTTCATGAAACACATAAGAAATTTCAAGCCTTTTTATCTTATATATTTTATATCCCCCTATCCTAGTACCACCTGAAGCTTGTGTTTGTGTTAGACCCCTTTTATTACACTACGACCTCACGTGCCTTTCTTTTCTTTTACTCTTACGTGACATGTGTTGTATGTTAGTTGTTGAAACAACCACTGCCCAGACAAGCTTTCCTCGTACTTGTATGGGGAAAATTGTGCTCTTGTGGGTGTGGAATCCGCCCTTACCCACACGATGGAAGAGGCAAAAGATTAGCTTCTCCCGCTTTTGCATTTGTTGGACATAGATGTGTACGTGGCCAGATATGTTCGTGTGCAGGTGTATTATCAGAATCCAGGTGTGTTCGTGTGCAGCTGTGACCAGGTGTGTCCCCTTTCCTAATGGCCCCCGTCACTCACCCTCTTGCATGCAGGTTTTCTTCACTCAGTACAGTCCTTCTCAGTTTTGGAGTCTTTCCTCTTGATACGTTTGGCTGATAAAACGCACGTTTGAGGCCGGAACAGATCAAAAGTTTATCCTGCATGAACAAACCTCTATGAGACCCTTATTAATCTAGTCTGCTTTGATACAACACGTAAGCTACAGAGCTTGGAAAAAAAAAATCATTTATGATGTTTAAAGGTATTTTGTACCAGTCTTTATTTTTCCCTGGCAGCATGGAGAGCTTGAACATATATAATAGTAGTCACTTTTACAATACTCATGTGATATAAATGACAGTTCCATACTTAATATAGAGAATGGCTATGACGTCAGTGTAGAATGAGTAAAAATGTAGCCTAAGCAGCATCCGCATATATGTATCTAATGCACGCATTCTAGGTAGTGACTTTTCTTTAATCAAGTAAAATCGTTTTAGAAAAGTTTCATTCTTGACTTATGATTTTCATATTTATATGCATTTGATTTTGTTTTATATTCACTGTATGCATAAGAAGCTTGACTTTCTTTTCTCTACCTTTCAATACTTTTTTTTTCAAAATTTACTCTACACAAACACCCACAAACACACACACACACACACACACACACACACACACACACACACACACACACACACACACACACACACACACACACACACACACACACACACACATACTCACACGCACACGCACATGTATGCACACACACACACACACACACACACACACACACACACACACACACACACACACACACACACACACACACACACAGGTGTGTGTGTGTGTGTGTGTGTGTGTGTGATGGATACACATACATTATATTTTTCATGTCTACCATCCCATACGGAAGTTTTCAGAGAAGTATTTTTTTCTTTATTGAATTTCATTATACTGAATGGTCTATTTTAAGGCACAATTTTCAGATTTACGAAAATTATTTTTCCTTTTCTCTTTGAGTTACATAATCCATTTGAAACAACTAGGATTATCGTCTTTATATTTATTATGGTTGTGACTATTCTTTTACTGATATTACATTTTGTGTTTGATTTCATATCAGCTTCATCGTCATTATCACCAGCAGCTAAACTCTGTTTCAATTACCAGTGATTACAATTACTATTATGATTTTTACATCATCCTTATCCCTAATACTATCATTTTTATTATCAGTAGCAGTATTCTTGTCATTATTGTTAATATTACTCTCACTGCTGTTGTTGTTGTTATTATTATTATTATTATTATTATTATTATCATTATTATTATTCTTATTTATTATTATTATCATCATCATCACCATTGTTATTAGTAATATCATTATTATCAGCAGTAGTTGTAATTGTAGCAGTAGCATTGTTATTATCATTATCATTATTATTGTTATCGTTGCTATCATTATTATCATTACTATCATTATCAGCATTGTATGATTATCATTTTTATTATCATCAATATTGTTATCATTATTATTGTCATTATCATTATTTTATTCTTACTATTATCATCATTATTATTATTATCATTATCATCATCATCATCATCTTCAATGTTATTATTATTATTACTATTATTATTATTATTATTATTATTATTATTATTATTATTATTATTATTATTATTATTGCTGTTGTTCTTCTTATTATTATTGCTATTACTATTGCTATTATTTTTTTTTATTACTATTATTATTATCATTATTGTTATTTTTACTATTACTATTACTATCATAATAATCAATATATTGGATAATATAATATATTTTTATTATTATTATTAATATTATAATTATTATCATTATTGTTATCACTGTATCGTTGTTATAATTATTGTT